AGTGCCAGAATATTTGATTTTTCTGCTTATTGAAATTTTTGGAAACGGCTAGGGAATAATAAAATTGAGGTAACTGCTCAAATAGTCTGGAGCAAGAAAAGGCTGTATTGTCTCACCCATTCTATTTAACATAGGTATATTGGGGATACATAATCAAGAAGGTACTGCAAAATTTATAATTTCCGGAACGAAAATAGCAAATCTCAAGGATCAACACACTAGTTATAGAGGATGAACTTATCCAAATATTGTCAATACTGGATATGATAAGTATAAAGAACACGGTCGTGGAAGTTGACCGCAACTGTAAAAATGAATGGTTCTCAAGCTCAATTATCATGGATCCCTCAAGCAGAGAAGAGGAGAGACGATTGTAGATTGCATTTGGAGTCGTTCTAGCTTATTCCAGCCGCTCAAGCTCCGCTACATTTCTAGATATTTTGTGCGTGATTTTGCTTCTAGTTGGTGTCCAAGGTTTGTAGGTTTCTTCCGAGCTTCCTGAGTGGTACGGTGTCTACATCTCAGGGTTTAATAACCGTACCCCTTGTGAAAGTTTCAGCCTTTTGCTTGTTCCCAAGATCTGCAGTGGTCGTTGTCTGATTTGCCTATTGTTTTTCGGTCATATTTCACCGGGCAATTCCCAGTGAGCAGATTAACGACTGTTCTAATGTCTCTTGTATTCATGTCAAGAAGTTGTTCAGATCTCTTTGGTGAGAAGGGTATGGACCTTTTTGCCTGTTTCAGACCCGGAATGGATTTCCAATGAGCTAGCATTCGGTCCTTTTCCCATCTGTTCATTTCTTCGGAGACGTGGTCCAGAAAAAGGCTCTGGGCCTTGAAAAAGTTTTGAAGTGCCTTGCTTTGCGAGAAGGTCTGCCTCCTTGTTGCCCTCTATGCTCTGGTGTCCTGGCATCCACATCAGGGTTACTTTGTTTCTCCCAGGTAGTTGCTTTTGCTTATGGATATTTCTATCCTTCCAAACTAGCTGCGAATTACACTCGATGACTTTTAGGGCCTTTAGAGCCGCTTGACTGTCGGATAGTATGTGAATATGCTCTCTTAAAAGACCTCTGTTAAAGGGGGTGTGACCCTAAAAAACGACTTAAGCTACTTAAATCAAGAAAAAAAATCAAAGATCTCTCGTGAAAACCGCAGTCCTATATTCAAATTAGTCTCCGAGAAAATTCCTTGTGAAGATAAATTATACAGGAAATGACGTCACAACCGCCGAAATTGCATCAGTCTTCCGTTCGTTCAGTCGTCAGTGAACCCTATATACTTTGAGTGGTGGCAATTCGTTCTAGTGAGATAATTCTCTTTTGTTTCGAAAAAAATTTACACGTGGTAATACTGTCCTTGATAATCTAGTGTGACGTCACAAACACCTAGTTGTAACTTTAAACCGCCCTAACTCAAAAATGGACTATTGTAGCAAGATGCGGTTTAAATATTTATTCTAAGATATTTTTGCACACCCGCTTCAAGGAACTCTTCGGCACAGATGTTTATGACTAGTACCTCGGCTTGAAAAAATGTGCGCGTTTTACCGATTGCTAAGGAGAGTTTGAAGTTTGATCCAGTTATTCCCAGACCGACTGCTTCCGTTAGCTTCGAACCATATGTGTACCACAATGATGCATTGTCTGCTTGCGGTAGCCTTGCACTCTTCCTTGATTGGCGTTCTTTCACAACCACTTCATATGGAATGCGAGATCAAATACCGCTACAGTTACTAGAAACTTGCTCCAACAAGCGAATGTAGCCCTTCTTCCATAGCCCGCAAAGTCACCAGACTTATCGCCTATTGAACATGTCCAGTGATGTAAATATGTTTTATTAATATTTTGGAAAGTAGTTATAGACCGTGAGATAGGGCATGTTTAGTGGAGTCATTTTTTTTTGTCTGGCATTTTGAGTGATGAATGTGGCTAGTTAGCTGATGAGAATATAGGTTGTTTTAGTGCCTGCCACCTGTTCGAAATGTCCACAGAATGTTTCGCCGGAAAACTCGACTTCGAACTGGGATTACGGTCTGGCGATTTTTCAGCGATATTTTCACAACAAAACCTTCCATTCTCTCGATTACCAGACAAAAAGTAAACGCGGAAGGTTCTTTTCTTTTCTCTTGGAAGTTGACACTCATCCCCACTTTTTCAGCTATTGAAAAGCATCTGGTATTTTTTATGGGTGAATTATTTATCAATGTCAATCTTTTATTTAGAAGCCAAAAAATTTGAGATCATTAAAAAAAAAATCCTCATGTAAATCAATTTTTTTCTTCTGCAAATTTTCGAACGGGAGGTAGGCATTAAAATCACCCATATTCTCATCAGCTTAGTAGCCACATTCAGCCCTCAAAATGCCAGACAAAAAAAAATGACTCCACTAAACAGCCCCTATCTCACAGTCTATTAAGATTAAGATAAATATGAATAACATTCGATAACATTTTCAAACAAATTTACTGAAAGGAATTTTCAACAAGTCAACAGTCAGTTGCGCCTTCACGTAAGTTTTGATATTCTGTAACTCTTCGTGGCATGCTGCAAATCAGATGATCGATATCTGCCTGTGGTAGGTTTTCCCAGGCTAATCTTACCTCATGACGTAGACGTTTTACATCCAGTAGAAAATGGGGCGTCTGCCCTAGCCTTCTACCTATTATATCCCAGACATGTTCAATAGGCGATAAGTCTGGTGACCTTACGGCTCATGGCAGAAGGGTTGCATTAACATGTTGCAGGAAGTTTCTACTAACTGCAGCGGTATATGGTCCTGCATTGTCCTGCAAAACTGGATCTTGCAGTTGCTGAAGGTAGAGCAACGTAGAAGAGTCCGTCGTAGACGCGGAGAAAGGCTTCAAGAGACTGCGATTACTAAAGGCGTTATGGCTTGAGGTGCCACAACAGTTGGAAGCAGGTCACCTCTAGTTTTTATTTGGATAGAAATATGAACGCTCAATCTTACATTAATAACGTATTACAACCTGTCGCGTTGCCCTACCTTCAAAAAATGCAAGATCCAATTTTTCCAACAAGACAATGCGAGATCACATACAGCTACAGTTACTAGAAACTTGCTCCGACAAGCTTCCATGGCCCGCAAGGTCACCAGACTTATCGCCTATCGAACATGTCTCGGATGTGATAGGTAGAAGGCTGAGGCAGTTGCCACATCTTCTATTGGATGTGCAACGTCTACGTCATGAGGTAAGATAAGTCTGGGAGAACCTACCACAGGCAGATATCGATCATCTGATTCACAGCATGCCACGGGAGTGATAAAATGTCAAAACTTACGTGCAGGGCAACTCACTATCGAATTGTTAAGAATTCCTTCCAAAAAATTTGTTTGAAAATGTCATCGATTGTTATTCATATTTATCCCAACTAGTTCCCAAAATATTAATAAAATATATTTACATTTACTGGGTGTTGAAATTTCTATGTCACACAGTATATGATCTGTATTATTTTACTTTGGCACTGAAGCATTGAAATATGCGTAAGTGGCCATTCAGATGTAAGTATAGACATAGACATATAGATTCATTAAGTTTAAATTTTTCTGTCTGAAGTAGCCTAAAGGCATCTATTCGCCTCTTTTTTCACATATAGATGAAGAAGAGACGATAAAACGAACTTGAATACGGAGAGACTGACTAATATTTGGACACATTGCACAGATATTATGAAACAATTCTGAAACCGGTCAATCCAAAAAAAGTGCTTCTTCTGAATCGCTACCTAGTTCACAGGTTACTGAAAAAAATTTCGAATATCGTTGGTGAATCAAGCCTATTCGCATTTTTCCCCAATCGCGGGTACGAAAACAACATTTTAACACCGATTCTGGCATACACCAGCCTAAATGTAGTTTCAAACTATCCGAATTTCGTGACAGAGCTTCAAAAATGTAACATATCCGTCTGTTTCAGAGGTTCGAAAAAATTGCACGGTCGGCAACTTACATATTCATATAAAAATTCAATTCGATCGGGAAGGAAATACAGAGTGTTTCAGAAATAGTATTACAAACTTTAAGCGTGAATATAACTCATCATTTGTATTAGATTTCTAAATTTTTTAGATAAATAGCTGAAGTTTCTTCGAAAGTTTCGTTGAGAGCGTATATATTTTATTCTTTTTCAAAAATGGCCATACTCTTTACGATAAATGAAGGGATGTTTTGTCTTTTTTGGGAATACCGTCAAAACTATTTGAGATACGCAAAAATTGCAAGATACCAAAAACCTTTGCAATGAAACGGAGAAGCTAGTGGCTCAAAAAAAAAAATTAAAAATGTGCTGCTAAAAAATCCAAGGTGGTTTTGGATGGTGTCACCCCCGAAAAAAACAGCCTCTTGATTTATCGTAAAGATTGTGACCATTTTTCATTTTTGAGAAAAAAAAAAACACTCTGTACGAAATTTAAGCTATTTATCTTAAAAATTGAGAAATATAATACAAAAAAACATTTTATTTTCTTGAATTTCTAGCTCCAATACTTCGGAAGCGAAACGTTTCCGGACCCATATATTTATAGGAACTTTTTTTCTTATTTTGATAAGTTATATCCGCCCTTAAAGTTTGTAACATCATTTTTGAAACACCCTGTAGACAACAATAGCAATTTTAATGTATCCGAAATCAGAAATAGATAAGGATTCTAGATATCAAATTGCAAAATAAGAAAATCAAAAAGTAAAATTTGATCTACAATAGACCATTTTCATCATTTGCACCCTGAATAATAAATAAATCGGATCCGTCTGAAACAATACCAATAAATTATTTAATACTATCACGTACGCTTAGTATGCAAAGCTGGTATTGTCAGGGGATTCAGTTTGTTGAAACTCTTTAAATGTCCGACATCATTTCCCCAAATAAGAGTCGACCGAAATACACTTTTTATTTCCGATAGGTCAGCGGTATAAAACGGTAGGGTAGCTTTTAAAGACTATCATTCGTAAATAGTTATTCGTTGGTCATCATCAGCATGAAGCTTTATATTTGTTGTTGTTTTATTGCTTTAGCTAGTGCTTCACCTCTAGTTGAAAAGAAAGCTATCAGTTTCGAATCCGATCCTGTAGAATTTGTGAAGGAATATATTGTGTCATTTTTGGATGGGTTTTTAAGCAAAGATAACTATGAGGTATGATTAATTTCTTTATACATATATTTTTCTAAGAAGTCATTTCAGGTCTCTGATGATATCAAACTAACCAAAAACTCATACAGATCAAACAATAATGAGGCTACAAGCAGAAGCGATGCAGATTATGAAGATAAAATTGAAAATTATATAAAAAGCCATGATGTTCACTTCAAACTTCCAGTTATTGGTTCTGTTAGTGTGGAAGCTAGAAATTTGGATAGTGATGAATTGGACTTTAAAATCAATTTTGGAACTGGCGTTGAAGAAGGTAAAGATTTTTTATTTAATTAACCCTAGTTTTGTCAGTGGAACAAATTGAAAATAAATCAAGGTCAATGAATGTTTCACTAATTTATTCAAAATTATTTTTTTCAATTACCTATTATAGGTATACACTTAATAATAATCTATGCATCTCGAAGTGGAATGAATTGATAATAATTAAAAGCCAATGACTATTCCACTTATTTTATCTAAATATTTCAATCACCTATCAAGGCCTAATCCAATAAAAATTGTTTTTTGTTTCAGCACGTAAATCGAAACTCAAAAAAATCTTCATCCCCATTTTGGTCTTTGTCCTCCTTAAAGCAATGACCCTAGTACCTTTGGCCCTCGGAATCCTAAGCTTAAAAGCCTGGAACGCTCTTCAACTTTCATTCTTCTCCTTTGTAGTAGCAGTAGGTTTAGCCATCTTCCAGTTGTGCAAAAAACTTGCAGCTGACAGTGCTGCTCCACAAATTGCGGCTCACGAAGCCTGGCCAGCTCAGCAATATTACGCTAGATCTTTGGACAGTGAAGCTCAAGATTTAGCTTATTCGGCTTACAGTCAATGAGGCTTTGAGGCGATTAGTTTTTAGTATTTATTTTAATTTATTTGTGAATTGTGCAAGAGTCTGTTACCTCATAATACAAATTTTAGACATGTTATGGGTTTTATTTCCGTTGCCCCAGAATAATTTAATACTATGCAAATAAAAATTTAAAAGAAAATTATGTACTTATTTAGTGTTCCTGAACGAATGAGGTTCTTTACTGGACTTTTACGCATAATAGGTATTTTGATAATTGATGATTGATGAACCAAGAATTGTTGAAGATCTAATAGTTTTACAGAAAGACAATCATTCTTGTATATTTTATAATAATAATGTCTATTGTGAAGGAGCAGTTAATGGTAAAAACTGAATTTACTTCTGCACATTATTTCATTTTGCTAAAATAGTTACTATGTTGGCGCGAATGACCCGGAGCAAAGTTTGTTCAGATTGTGGATATAGAAAAGATGGGATAAACAACAAAATTAATGTCTTATTGACGAACGACTTGGTACTGAATTTATTTATTTTTATGACCAACAAAAATAATTTTTTCGATAATAATGTTTATTTGAAAAGCGCGATTAATTTGTAATTTAAAAAAAAATCTGTTTAAAGGTGAAAAAAAAAAATTAACGTCAAGACTAATTTGGTTGCAAAGTTTTGATCGATAATTTTCAAGCGATTGAAATGGTCACTAATTCTCTTTTTTTCTGAATAAACGGCGATAAAGCGTGAATGGAATATTGGCTGTTTTTTAAAACCGAGGTAGTTAGAGATTATTTTCGGCTTCTTGATAAAATCAAGATTGCCACTACACTAACTACGAATTGTTTTCTTTTTTATGCAACTTTCGTGAAATCATAGTTCCAACCCTTTCAGGGAAGTCTAGTAGGTACTTTGTCCAAAGTATGTTGGACTTTATTGAATTGTCATGTCCATTTTTTGTCTGGACTGTGTGACTAGCGAACTTCCACCCAAGCTTTTGCTGTACGTCTACCCAATTGTTTCTTTTTTGAGTTTTATCCCCAATGATGCCTTATTCATGATTCTTTGTATTCCTAACAGTTTTATATTATACTGCATTTGGGCATTCTTTGATTTTTGAGGACTCATGTCAATTTTCTGAATCCCGTCCATGCCATCCAAATAGTATTAAGTATGCGTTCGCCGATTTCAGCAGTTCAGTTATCCCTATCGTGTTCAAGATTTTTGCGCAAGGATACAACATATTTACTGTTTCTAGTGCAACAGTTTTTTTTTCTTTGCATTGGTCCGCTCAGAAAAGATTGAGTCTATACTATCTAAAGCCGGCATCCCACAGCGCGTTGCTTGGCGATCCAGGCTTGTGGCTTGGGCTTGTCGTGGCAGATGTGGAAACAGTATTCGATACATGGTCTGATTTGAGCCTTATAAACGAAAAGGAGTTGTTCAGAAATAGAAAAACACCTAACTTTCGAGAAGCGGTTTTTGCGATCGAAGATGCATGGTCATGCCAAAAAGAGTTGGCCGATGCGGTCACCCCAAGAAGAGGTACGAAGGGATTGATAGAAAGGTTTTGTCCCGATATCCCTGAAACTGGTCTATCATCGGCAGAAGAGTCATTATTTGAGAGTACTGTTGCTTGAGTATTGGAAGCATTAAATTTGACTGGGTTATTGAGGTCCCAGTAGGTAATGGATTCAAGTCACACTTGATAGAGTGAATCTGTTCTTGGGCGAGGCGTGTGGAAGTGGCTGCAGTTAGCGGTTTGTCAGAAGAGAAAGATGTCATCAAGCTACTATCGTCCGCAAAGCTATATATGGGGATTCTTGTCACATTTAACAAATCATATATGGAAATGAGAAACAGTGTTGGGGAAATAATTGAGCCTTGGGGAACGCCGGCATCTATAGGCAGTGTATCAGAAGACACCATCGACCACAACATGCAGTGACCTACCTTCCAAAAAGCCCCCCAGCCAGTGGCAAAATTCGTTCGGACGGCAGACCATATGATGGAAGATTGCTGAAGAGACGTTTGTGCCACACCTGGTCAAAAGCCTTGAAGATCTCCAATGCTCCAATTCTGGATTCGCCATGATTTTTGATAGTCGAGTTTCAAATATGACTGACGTACTCCAACAAAAAACCTTTCGATCTTATAGAACGAAACCCGTACTGTTTGTCAGAGATAAGCTTATTGGTTTCGAGTTATTCAACCAGTTTCAGATTGACTGCCTTTTTCATTACTTTTGAAAGTACGGATAAAAATGAGGTGGGACGATAATTGTTAGGAATAGTTTTTTTGCCATTTTTCGAGATGGGCTGCACCCATTTGCAGATAGACAGGAAAACGCCTCGACTGTAAGAAAGTGAAAACAATAACTGAAGCCAATTTTTTTGCGGACAATCGGTAGAATGCCATCGGGAACACAAGATTTCCCAGTGTCAAGTTGCATAAGTCTTTTTTTAATAGTTCTAGGTCTAAATACAACGTTGTCGATGTACGAACCAAGGTGTGGCACTACCAATGGCGCTCTACCGTTGTCCTTTTGCTTTTTCCTTTGACAATACTACAATGGACATTCCTAAGATATTTCACATAATCCACAAAAGCGATATATACTTAAGACATTGCATATGCTTTTAAATTCTTTTTTCTACAACTGTCAAAAAATGATGATGTTCGCACACTCATGACAGTTTGCGAAGTGGCACTTTTTTTCCCAGATATTAATTTTTTAACGTTCCCATGACGCCGTTCGCGAACTAGCTATTTCGCGCACGTGTGCGCAAAATAGCTAGTTCGCACACTGGGTGTCATGGTGACACATACCTGTCAGGAAATCAAAAATAATTAAAATTCACCTACCTTTGATTGAAAATGCAATTTTGGCTTCGAATGATTGATATTTAAATGGAGTTGTAGAAAAAATATTGTATGCAACTCGGGCGCGAAATACTTTGGTGATCTCGACTATTTTTTTAACTCGGCTGCGCCTCGTTAAAAAAATCAGATCTCGATCACCAAAGTAGCATTTCGCGCCCTTGATACAAAAATAACTATTTCTTGTATAAATTTTCTTTTTTTTTTTTTTTTTTTACGGATATGCGCACTCGCAAGGAAATGTCCTATCACGCTCGAGAAGCGGCAAGTGCGCGGAAATGTCGGTGTATGTTGGTCTTGAAACGGTTCAGGTTGTAACCTGCAGGGAAAACCGTCGCAGGAAGTTTATTCCACAGCGATGCTGTTCTCCAGAGATATGAATTCTGATATAATGAGGTTCTTGGTGCCTCTAGTTTGACAGTAAATTCATGGTTACCGTCTGTTTGACGGGTTCGCCTGGTAGGTGCTACTCTCGGTCGAATCATACGTGCCAACTCTTCAGAGCATTTTCCGTGATAGTACCTGTAGAAGAGAGATAAATCGCCCACAGATCTGCGATGTTCGAGACCATCCAAGTTACGAGTAAGTGCGGGGTCATTGATCAGCTTGATAGCTCGTTTTTGCACGGTGTTCAAAAGCATTAAGGTTTATTTGGGTGCTGCACTCCATATATGTGAGCAGTACTCCATAGTTGGTCGAATCTGGGCTTGGTGTGTACAGATGTCTTGTACGAAATAGCACCCCAAGCTTTTGGGACGCCCTTTTAGCAATATCTGCCACGTGACTGTGCCAAGACATGTTGGTCTCTGCAGTAACCCCCAAGATGTTCAACTGACTCTGTAATGTGACAGCACTTCCAGATAGCATGATGTTTGGCTCACCGGTGCTGGTCTTTTTTGAAAACAGAGCTGCTTGGATTTTCTGCGCGTTGAACTGTACAAGGTTTTTGTTACCCCAGTCCTCTATTATCTCCAGGTCGTTATTTATCTGCGATATTTGAGTTATTCTAAGATGATGGAATTCACGTGCGGAAAGACCTGTGGGTGGTATGAGTGAGGAGACTACATTGCCATCGTCTGCAAAGCAATAAAGTGGATTTACTGTTTTATCTATGAGGTCATTTATGTAAATCAGGAAAAGAGTTGGCGAAAGGATTGCTCCCCGTGGCACACCAGCATTTATTTGGTAAGAGTTGGAGTTCTGGCCATCCAGTGCAACATAAATGGATCTGTCCTTTAGGTAACTTTCAAACCAAGTGCAAAGTTTCGGCGATAATCCCATTGCTTTGAGCTTGTTGAGCAGATTTTCATGCCAAACTTTGTCGAATGCTTTAGATATATCTAAGGCAATTGTTCTTGTTTCACCCCGCAACTCAATCGCTTTTTGCCATAAGTGAGTGACGTATGTAAGTAAATCGCCAGTTGACCTATATTTTCGAAATCCGTATTGCTTATCGTTGATAATTTTGTACTTTTCCAAGTACTTGGTTAGGTGATTGTTTACAACTCTTTCCATTACTTTTGATATTACCGGAAGTAGAGCAATTGGTCTATAGTTTAACGGATCTGTCTTTTTTCCTTTCTTTGGAATGGGTTGTACTGCGGCAGACTTCCATGATGATGGATATACTCCTTGCCTGTAAGACAAATTGAATAATTTTGCGAAAGTTGGGGTGAGTTCGTTGGCGCAATTTTTGAGTACTATTGCGGGAATGCCATCCGGACCCATTGCTTTGTTTGTATCCAGCTTTTTTAGGGATTTTCGTATTTCTTTGTGACAAAAGGGTACCTCTGGTATACTATGGGAAACCCTTTCAATGAACGGTGGAGTTTTTCCGTTTGGCACTGTTAGGTTGGAGTTGGAGGAAAACATTTGGGCAAGCATATTGGCTTTTTCCTCTGATGTTGTGGTTAAGTGATTATTTTTATCTGTAAGTGGTGGTATGGATGACTTGGTGAAGTTAGATTCAACAGCTTTTGCAGGAGACCAAAAAGACCTAGAACTACTTGGACAATTCAGCAACCTGTTTTTTATTTTTTGATTGTATGTTTCTTTAGCGGAGTCAATAGTAATTTTGCAACTATTTCTGGCTTCTAATGTTTTTGAGCGGTTTGTTGTCGTTTCCAAAGGTTATATGCTCTGTGTTTTTT